AGATGGCACCTTGATCCACAAAAGATGTCTCGTATGTATTCAAATTTGCAACCTAAATGTTGGAGATGTGGTTGTTTGGATGCAACGTATTATCATATTTGGTGGTCATGTAAAAGTATAAAAGCTTTTTGGATAAAGATATGGTGGAATTTCAAAAAATTTTTAAGAGAAGGATAAAATTCACTCCACAATTGTTTTTGTTAGGTATTATTGTTGATTGTGATGATAAAGAAATTATTTTAATGTTAAATTTAATTACAGCGGCAAGGTTGTTGATAGGACAATATTGGAAGAAGGAATTTTTGCCTACTTTGGAGGAATGGTTTTTAAAAGTTTCTTATTTATCTGAAATGGCAAAAATTTCGGCTTATTTGAAAGATCAATCGCAAGAGAAATATCTCTTGGTGTGGAAAAGATGGATAAATTTTATACAGTATAAGTATGATATTAAAAGATATTATTTAGCTTTTGAATAATTTATGTTTAAAATTTAAAGTTTAAGAGAATAAGTATTTTTTATTGTATATGCATATTGGATTTTATTATTATATATATGTATTGGATTTTTCTTTTTTTTAATGTAACTTCTGTTTAAGGTTTATTTAAGTTTAAATGTTTAAATGTTTTGTATTCTTAGTTCTAGTTAACCCTGTATTCAGCTCTGGGAAGAGGGGGGGGAGGGTTTTTGGGAGGGTAGGGAGGCAGTGGGAGGGGGATTTTATTATAAAATTGTAAAAAATTTTAATAAAAAAACAACAACATCTTTTTTACATCGTGCTGACCAAAACTGGATGCAGTATTCCAAGTGTGGCCTTACCAAGGCATTGTAAAGTGGTATTAATACTTCACATGATCTTGATTCTATCCCTCTGTTAATGCAGCCTAGCACTGTGTTGGCTTTTTTGGCAGGTGCAGCACACTGCTGGCTCATATTTAAATGATTGTCCACTAGGACTCCGAGATCCCTCTCACAGTCACTACTATTAAGCAAGGTACCCCCTATACTATACCTGTACATTTGGTTTTTCTTGCCTAAATGTAGAACCTTACTTTTTTCACCATTGAATTTCATTTTGTTAGATAGCGCCCAGTGTTCAAGTCTGTCCAGATCCTCCTGTATCCTAAGCCTGTCTTCTGGAGTGTTGGCTATTCCTGCCAGCTTGATGTCGTCTGCAAATTTGATGAGTTCCCCATCTTTCCCCTTGTCCAGATCGTTGATGAAGATGTTGAAGAGCACTGGGCCCAGAAGAGAGCCCTGGGGCATCCCGCTACACACTTCCCTCCATGTAGATGCAGTTCCATTGAGGACCATATGCTGAGTACAGCTGGTCAGCCAGCTATGGATCCCTCTGGTGGTGATGCTATCTAACCCACATTTTTCTATCTTCTCCAATAGTAGGTTGTGGTCTACTTTGTCAAATGCCTTACTGAAGTCCAAGTAAATTATATCCACAGCATTCCACTAATTTTGTCACTTGGTCAAAGAATGCAATAAGATTTGTCTGGCATGATCTGTTTTTGACAAACCTGTGTTGGCTTTTAGTAATGACTTTGTTTGCCTGTAGGTGTTCGCTGATTCATTGTTTGATTATCTTTTCCAGATAATCTGTTGGGCTATTTGCATATGACTGATGTGTAATACCTGATTTGCACTTCTCCCTGTCGAAAACAAGTTCTTCATCTCAGACCAAGATCCCTGCTTATTTGAGTTGTGATCACAGATACCTTTACCGGTCTCCTTAATACATACTCCTTATGTACACAGTATTTAGAAATTATATCATAGATTAAGAGTACTTTTATTTTCAATCTTGTCCTGAGGAATTTCTACTGGAAATTGTTCTTTCTTTTAGCAGCCTTGACATTTTCACTGAATTATCTGACATGACTCCAGAATCCTGCTCAGTTACTATCAGTTATAACCTCTCAATGAACTTTTTTTTTATGCCAATGTGCGTCATTTTGTGTTTGCTTGCATTAAGGTGTATTTGCAATTTGAAATCTCACTATTCTACTTTGGAAACAGAAGAGTTCTGCATAATCCTTTTTTGAATGTGCCACAATTTGGTGTCATTAGTAGACTTTGTCATCTAATACAGGGGTGTGAAACTCAATTTCATTGAGGGCTGCATCAGCATTGTGGTTGCCCTTGGGGAGGCCGGGTGGGTTCGGCCTACTGGGTGGGTGTGGCCTACTGGGTGGGGATGGCCAGCTCTACATCGTTCGCGTCAAGGGTGCCTGTGGGAGCCTGGGCAGAAGTGGGACAGATCTGAGGGTCTCTGGCAGAAGGGGGTGGGACTGGGGCAAGCACCAAGGTATGGTGCATTTCTTCATTCCTCACAAAGGGTGACACCTCCCCAGCACGCACCCAGGGGTGGGGCCAACGCGTCAGGCTGGTTCCTCGCTGTTTCTGGATGGCCTTGTGGAGCTAAGACTGAATGCATTTCAGCATAGATGGCCACCACATTGGCTCCCAGCCAGCCTGGGCCAGGGCTAAGGCAGCGGGGGCAGTTCCCTCACTGTTTCCAGGATGGCTTCACGGGCCACATGAAACCACTTCACGGGCCGCATCTGGCCCCCGGGCCTTGTGTTTGACATGTCTGTTCTAATGCCTGCAGCTGTGTTCTAAAGTAATCCCACCTATAACATTGAAAGGAACTATATTTTTGTTGGTTTCAGGGACTGTAAAGATAACCTATTTACCATAGCCAAGGACCAATTCTGGGCAATATTAAGGAGAAATTAATTATGAGTCTTGATTGAACTGAGGATACAATATAGATTTCTGTTTCCTTCTGTTTTCATTATGCTAATGCATCTGGCTTTTAATTAGAAAGTTTTGGAACAATGACACATTCAGCATAGTTAAATATTTTGAGAGCTTTATCACCTGAAATTTCAATGGCTAATAATTCAGTTCCATTCTGTGTCTTTTTTAAGATATTGTTAAGATCAGTTGTGTACTATAAAATCTTTGCTTCAATAATAGCAGAAAGACTAAAGAGATTCTTGACTGAATTTATACATTGAGACCAAAATAGATTTTTACCAAAGAGACAAATAAAGAACAATTTAAGAATAATTTTAGACACATTGGAATATTACAAAATGCACCCAGGGAAACAAATGGCTTTGAGTTTTTTAGATGCACAGAAAGCCTTTGACAACGTCAATTGGCAATTTATGATTCAACAACTAATTCATATGAATTTGGGCGAAAATTTTATGAACATAATCCAAACAATTTTTCATAGACAAACAGCTAAAATAATTGTGAATGGAGATTTCACGGAGAGCTTCAATATTAAAAAAGGTACAAGACAAGGATGTCCATTATCCCCACTATTATCTTAACGTTGGAAGTGTTGAACAGGAATGTTAGACAGGATCCAGAAATCAAAGGAATGGAGATAAAAGGTGAAAAGTACAAAGTACAAGCATTTGCAGATGACCTGGTATTATTAGCACAGATTGAAGAATTTGGACAAGTAGCAGGACTGAAAATTAATAGAGAAAAGATTAAAGTTATAGTTAAAAATCTTACAGATAAACAAAAAACAACAACTATTAGTAAAAACATACCTGCAAGTAGTTAAGAAAGTTAAATACTTGGGGATATATCTAACAACAAGATGTGTAATAATAAAAAAAGACAATTATGTAAAAATAATTAAAACAAATAAAACTAGATTTGGAAAAATGGAAAAATCTACAACTACCAATCCTGGGAAGAATAGCGATAAAAATTGACATTTTTTTTCCGATGAATTAAATACATCAATATTGAAATTTATCTGGCAAGGGAAAAAAGCTAGAATCAGACTGAAAATGTTACAAGAAGCAAAAGAAAAAGGAGGCTTTGGCCTACTAGACTGGGTCTTGTACTATCAAGCAGCCGCACTAACATGGTTAAAAGAATGGATAACTCTTAGAAATAAAAGACTATTATACCTAGAAGGGCATAACCTACAACTTGGATGGCATGCTTTCCTATGGTATGGGAAGAACAAAATTCACAAATACTTTCAAAACTACTATGTAAGAAATGCACTGCATTTCAAGATCAAAATCAAGAACTTACATGAAAATACCTGGATGGATCTTGACAATGGAGGCATTTGTACACCGAAACTTAATCAATCATGATAAACGTGACTTATAAAGATATTTTAAATACTGATGGGAAACTACAAACTAAACAAGAATTGGAAGAACAGGGCATTGAGCTATCATGGTGGCCACACCTGCAAATACAAATGAGATATGAGACGCAAAAATATATGGTTTTTACAAAGATCAGACAACGTTAGACCAGATACTATTGTCATCAGATAAAACCTATGGGAAAGAAATTACAAAATAATGAGGACAGCTACTTACAAAGAAAATTTATATAAAATGTTCTATAGATGGCACTTACCACCTGCAAGATTAGCAAAAAGATTAAAAATGTGTCTAGCAATTGTTGGAAATGCAGACAAAATCCAGGCACATATTATCATCTTTGGTAGACATGTCCTAAGCAAAGAACTATTGGTCAAAAATATATACCGTATATTCCGGCGTATAAGACGACTTTCTAAACACTTAAAATCTTCGCAAAAGTGGGGGGTCGTCTTATACGCCGGAAAAATATTACTCAGCAAGTTTTCTCTTCCCCCCCCCCTCTCTCTCACTCAAAAAGAGTCCTAGGGTTATTATTAAAACCAGCCGATCAACTAAAGATATCTCTGAGAGTACGATAGGCATTATCTGGCTGTTGTGACGGTAAGATTTCCTGGAGGTTTAATCCCCATTCTATAATGCTACATTGCAAACCGTCTCCTCTCTTCTTCCCTCCCTTTTGCATCCCAATTCCTTGCCCACCCCTCCAGAACTGCGGATTGGTAGTGGCCATCCCCTGATTAATTCATTCAAAGGAAGTAGAAAGGGATGGCCCATGTAATGGGGAAGGGGGGAAAAGAATTGTAGGGTGGTTTTTTTATATAATGAAAACAAACCTAAGCATCTGCGTCCATTCGAGGCACTTTTCAGTGCTTCTTCATGCAAGCTTTTCAGCGTTTACCTCTCACTGCCGGTGAGAGTAGCTTGGGGGAGGCGGAGCTTATGGGTCTGGAAGGGGAGGGGTGTCAGCTAAATTCCTCTCGGAGTTAAGAAGCAGGAATGGAGTGGGGACAGAAAACAGCTACACAATCCTTTTGCCCGAGCTTATGCAAGCAGTTTCTCCCCCCCCCCTGCCTAAATAAACTTGCATGGTGCATTTGTGGTGTTATTTATGACAGATCCTGGCTGGTCAATCTGGCTCCCATCTATAAGTACTGTAGTGCACTGAGTTTTAATAACAAATTAAAAGGAAAGCATTTACTCCCCCCCCCATTACCTGAAAAGGGGGCAACTTATCACATTTATGGAAATGCAAGTTTTCGAAGGGCGAATGCCTTTCTTACTTAGCTTATTAACTGCTTCCTTTCCTTCTTCCCTAAACATTCTGGCTGTCTCCAATTTCATTCTTGGTAGTGTTGCTTTAAAAAACTGCTGAGAAGTCCTTTTGCAGGCAGGGCAATTTTCATCAAGGTGTGTGTGCGATTGACAAGGCAGAGCCTTTGAAAAACAGGCAGGCTTTCTGCTCACTCAGCTTGGAGAGGCTGTGGAGTATTCGCAGGGTGGAAGACTGAGAGGAGGAGATCCCTGTGTGCAGCCTGTTTGCTCCAAGCCAAAGCTTGCTACTGGGGGGAGGGCAATGGAAGGGACCCAGGGAGTCACACGCATGCCTACATGTGCACGCACACACCCTGAGCTACTCATTTGGACTTACAGGTGGCCAATGAGAACTCAGAAACTGTGCTCCCTTTCCCCCTCCCTCATGGAATTAGCTTGTCCATTTTTTCCCTAGGGCCTATACAGGAGTAGGCAACCTTGGCTCTTTTATGACTCATGGACTTCAACTCCCAGAATTCCTGAGCCAGCATAGCTGGCTCAGGAATTCTGGAAGTTGAAGTCCATGAGTCATAAAAGAGCCAAGGTTGCCTACCCCTGGCCTATAAGATGACAGGAAGGGTTGGGCAGGCAGGGAGAGCTGATCCACCCAATCCAAGCAGGCTTTGTATACAACAACCAGCTAAGGTTCATCGCTTGCTGTGATTGGCTGGTTGTTGTATACTGGGTACATACAGTACAGCACCAGTATCTGTACCAGTTCATACAGTACAGCACCAATACATACAGTACAGTATACAAATGTCCAATAGTCAAGACCCTATCATGGCTCCACCAGCAAGAAGAAGGAAATATGAAGCCAGTTTCAAACTTAAAGTTGTAAACTTTGCCATGGAACATAATAACTGCGCTGCTGCAAGACAATATGGAGTAACAGAAAAGATGGTTCGGGACTGGAAGGCAAATGAAAAAGCATTAAAGAGTATGCCAAGGGGTAAGTGTGCATTAAGAAGAGGCACCCCACATTGGCCAGAACTTGAAAAACATGTAGCAGACATGGTGAATGAGCATCGCCAAAACGGTTATGTAGTGACACGAAATAAAATACGTTTGTTTGCACTTCAGTGGGCCAAATCTAACCCAGATCACAGCAACAGATTTAAGGCCACTGCATCCTGGTGTACTAGATTCTTGGAAAGGCATAATATGGTACTGAGGCAAAAGACGAAAATTGCACAAAAATTACCTGCAGATCTTGATAGCAAAGTAATTAGTTTCCATCAATACATAATACAACAGCGCATTAAACATGGCTATGCATTAAGTAGTATTGGAAATATGGATGAAACTCCAATGAATTTTGATATGGTTGGAAATAAAACTGTCCATCAGAAAGGTGAAAAAACAATTTTAATTAAAACAACAGGACATGAGAAGTCCAGTTTTACAGTGGTACTAGCATGCACAGCTGATGGTGCCAAACTGAGACCAATGATTATTTTTAAAAGAAAAACAATGCCAAAACTCAAGTTCCCTGTTGGTTGTTTTGTACATGTGAATGAAAAAGGCTGGATGGATGAAGAAGGGGTAAAGCTATGGCTTGATAATGTATGGAGCAGGCGACCAGGTGGACTTATTCAAAAACGTAGTCTACTGGTGTGGGATATGTTCAGGGCTCATTTAACTCCCAGCACCAAGCAAAAGCTTGCAAGACTAAACACAGATGTGGCAGTTATTCCTGCAGGATTAACATCGTTAGTACAGCCACTGGATGTATGCCTAAACAAGCCATTTAAAGATCGCATTCGAGAACAGTGGAATGAATGGATGGTTAGTGGCGAAAAGTCATTCACAAAAGGAGGAAACATGCGTGCTCCACAATTGGATGTTTTGTGCAAGTTTGTCATAAAAGCCTGGAATGATATTGATGCAGAAACAATAATCAAGTCTTTCAAGAAGTGTGGCATATCAAATTCATTAGATGGTATGGAGGACGACTACTTGTGGCAAGATGAAGAGGAAGCCGAAGCTGAGACCACACCATCTGATACGGAATTCGATCCATACGATGACTGCCTTGCAAATGTATCACAAGATGTCATTGATATTTTTATGATATCAGATGATGAACAGGATGATTTTAAAGGCTTTTAAAGGGAAAGTATCATGCCAGCAAAACCTATAAAAATAGCTTGCAGTTATGATGGGCGTTGCTGACTCGCCAGGGACTTGCCCGGCACTTGCTCTCTCTATTGTTTGTTATCTTCCTCCTATCATCATCAGTTCCAGTTTGGTTGACAGCTTAGAAAACAAATAGCATGGCAGCTCCCATGGGTTTATTGTCTTATCCTTCCTTTCAGCTTTAGAGTGAATTAGGAAAAGTTTAATCACTTGCACTGTTTTATGTTTACATGTTTGATGACAAACAGCCTTATGTTTATAAGTGACAGTTTTCCTGCTAAGTACCTTTATGCCATAAGCATTTGAATTAAAATTACCATATTGAAATCAAATCTGATGTTTTTTAATTTTTATTTGGTGTGCGTTGAAAGAGGGGTAGTCTTATACGGCGAGTATAGCCCAAACTCTATATTTTAACTGGAAAAGTTGGGGGTCGTCTTATACGCCCAGTCGTCTTATACGCCGGAATATACGGTAGGTGGCTAGAAAAGATGATAGGAACACATGTAGACTATAAACTGGAATTATTTCTTTTAGGCATAACATCAGAAAATTATGATAAGAAATGTGTATACGTAATACTAAATATATTAACAGCAGTGAGAATTATATTTGCTCAATACTGGAAAAATGAAGAAATACCATCTGAAGAAGATACAACTAAGAAAATTTTGGACTGTGCAGAAGTGGATTGAAAATGAAGGGGAAGCAAGACTCAGAATACTTTCAAACATGGGAAAATTTTTATAAATGGTTAGAAAAATGGAATAAAGGGTAGAAATGGAAATTGTATTACTATTAATGTTAAACACACAAACCCAGACAACGTGTTGCTTATTAAATACTAAGATTATTACTGTAAAAAGTTAATAAAATATACATTAAAAAAGATCAATTCTCACAGAAACCCACTCTTCTTCATATATTCATTGTCTTCATCATAGCCATGGGAAAGGTAATGCTTAAATGTTATTGAATTCCAGTGGTTACTGAACTCTCATGAAATCTAATCAGCCTAGTCAGTGGTGAGGGATGATGGGAGTTGAAGTCCAACAAACTTGGGAGAGCCACAGTAGCTAATCCTTCTGTATGTAGCACAGATATACTAGGATGAAGTGTTTTGCTCTGTTCTGAAAAGAAGTCCAATCATAAATCACTACCTTTAATAGCTGTAACTGCATGTGGACCTTGCCATAAAAATGATGATTATTGGTTCTGATGGCTTGTTTGACTTGTGTTTGATTACTTTTTAAATGACTATTTCTTTTTGGCGTGACAGAGACAAATACACACTTCTTAAATGCTGACTAATACCTATTCAATTATTCAATACACATGAGTATCAGGATCAAGCTTTTTCTGATTACTTCTGACATGTGCATCTTACTTCAATCTTACATGATGTGTTGTATTTAAATTTTACATATATATGCCTCTTATATGTGCAGAATACCATTGTCCTTAGAGCTTTGTTGCAGAAGATTCTGCTCAGGCTTGGATCAGAACAGCCCATTTGAGATAGGACCCATCCTCCTCCTACAGAAAGCATTGCTGCCTGGCAACGATCCTTTATCCTTCCTTGCCAAAGGTCAGATTACAGAATCAGCACATAGGACCATTTGATAACTAAGCTTTTATCTTGCTGACTACATTTCAGATTATGCTACTCAGGGGAAGTGTTCAGATGACCTTCAAGAAGGATAGGTGTCCTTGGAACTTTCCTTCCACAAACCTTTATAATTGGCTGGGTTGATGAATATTGAAGGCATTCAAGACAGCTACAGAGCAGTAGGTTGCCCATTCCTGCTGGGAAATGTTGCTGCATGGCTGTAAAACTCTTCCAAAGAATTACTGTGAAAGTGAGAGCATTTACACTGTACCCCCTTGGAATCAGTGAAGCAGGCATATGTCACAGGTTGTCTATGAAGATTCTCAATCATCCAGGTCATGGTTGTCCCGTAGGTGCTTTTTTAAAACAACCACAACAACAATAACAACTGAACTTTCATTTGTTTTTCCTTGAAGACATTTCGCTTCTCATCCAAGAAGCTTCTTCAGTTCTGGTGAAGAATAGAAGGATTTAAGGACTGCAAGGAATATAAATCCTTCCATTCTCCTCCATTCAGAAATGAAGGAAGCTTCTTGGATGAGAAGCGAAACATCTTCAAGGACAAACAAACTCCAGTTGCCGTTTTGGTCTATTTCACAGGTTCTTTCCTACCTGTCATTATGCTCCCACAAGAGACCCAAAACCCCCTCTGAATTCTGTTGACTTTTATCTAGCACCAATTTGCCTTGACTGTTAGTAAATCAGATTCTTGTATATGGTTAGCAATAAGCTCGTGCTGGTTTCTTGCGCTTGACACTCAAGTAATATAAGGACAACCAGATCATTAGGAAATAATATGGAAGTCCATACATTATTAGCATTTTCTGTAA